TGCAAAAGCCCTTTCACTCAAGAAAAGAAATATTCTTTTGGGCCGGGCTTCCCCAAAGACATCAAACTCAGCTAAAGCTCCTAATGGGCCTAATGGGCCAGCTCGTGACAAGGCTACTCCTTTGGGCCGAAGTACTCCCGCAGCTTCAGAAAAAACAACAAAAGGTGTTCCAAAAACCCAAAACAAATCAGCCAAGGTGGGATCAAATAAGCCACCAAGAATTCCGACATGAATACAATTGCGTGGAACTGTCAAGGGGCGGGAGCCGGCTTGACGAAGGAGCATCTTAATGAATTGTACTACTGTTTTTTACCTAAGTTTTTATTTCTCTCGGAGACCAAAAACAATCGTGATTTTTTGCAAGATGTGCAAGTTTCTTTTGGATATGACCATGTTTGTACCGTGGACCCGGTGGGTCGAAGCGGTGGTCTAGCTTTGTTTTATATGGATGATCCTTCGGTTTGTATTTTATATGCAGACGAACATATGATCGATATTGAAACAAGGCTTGAAGGACACCCTATTTTTATGACTTTTGTTTATGGAAACCCTGATGTTAGATATCGAGACTTGGTGTGGGAACGATTATCACGTATTAGTACGACTCGAAGTGGAGCGTGGCTCATGACGGGTGATTTCAATGAGCTCACAGGAAATCATGAGAAGAGGGGAGGAAGACGTCGCTCTGAAAATTCTTTCCTGCCCTTCCGGATCATGTTAGAAAACTGTGGAATGCTCGATTTTCCATATAAAGGAAATTCCTTCTCATGGGTGGGAAAAAGGAAAAATGGGAAAGTCAAATGCAAATTGGACAGATCGGTTGCAAATGAGGATTGGCACGGACTTTTCTCCAACAGCATCGTCGAATACCTACAACTATGGGGCTCAGATCATAGGCCAGTTCTCACACGAACCCAATCCATTATTCGGAAAAGAAAGAAAAACTTCAGATTCGACAAGCGGTGGATAGGGAAACCCGGGTTTAAGGAAGCGGTAACCTCGGGGTGGGGGCAATCTGATGAAATTCCAATCAGAAATTTTCACCAAAAAGTTACCTCATGCCGAAATAAAATTAGCTCCTGGAAGAGGAATAACCCGACTAACTCTGCTGTTTTGATCGAAGAGCTAAAAGGCAAGATTGACGCAGTCCAGGATGATGAAAACGCTACTACCGAAGAACTGGAAACCTTAAGGAGACAATTAATCATGGCGTTCAGAGAAGAGAATTCTTTCTGGGAACAAAAGAGTAGGGACCAATGGCATAAACATGGAGACAGAAACACAAAATTTCACCATGCCACCACGAAACAGCGTAGAGCGCAGAATCGTATCATAAGTATCAAACATGGCAGGCTGGTAGAGAGTGAAATCGAAGTGGAGAATGTGGCTATTCAATACTTTCGAGATCTCTTCTCTACCTCTTCGCCGACGGAAGTGGACATTTCTCTTCGTTTTATCTCCGAGAAAGTATCCCATACAGACAATAGGTTACTTTTGGAGAAACCGTCTGAACAAGAAATTAAAAAAGCCCTTATTGAGATAAATCCAGATAAAGCGCCCGGACCGGACGGTATGACTAGCAAATTATTCCAGAAATTCTGGAATGAGATGAAGAAAGATATTATTCGACTTGTACAAGATTTCTTCGCGACCGGCAGTTTTGACCCGCTACTAAACCAGACGAATATTTGCCTCATTCCAAAAAAGAAGAAACCCCGGGACATGTCGGAGTTCAGACCGATTAGTCTCTGCAACGTTAGCTATAAGATTATTTCTAAGCTACTATGCAAGAGACTTAAAAGGCTGATTCCACGACTGATCTCAGAAACTCAATCCGCCTTTGTGGCAAAACGGCTGATCACAGACAATATCCTGATTGCACAAGAGAACTTTCATGCCCTAAGGACCAATCAGAGATGTAGACTCGATTTTATGGCAATCAAAACAGATATGAGTAAAGCCTATGATAGAGTGGAATGGAGTTTTCTAGCAACTCTGATGCGTAAGATAGGCTTTGATGCACGATTGGTTGACCTCATCATGTGGTGTGTCACGTCGGTCTCATATCAAGTCTTAGTCAATGGACAACCGAGAGGGCGGATCTCACCGAAGAGGGGCCTGAGACAAGGAGACCCCTTATCCCCCTTTCTGTTTATCTTGTGCACGGAAGCTTTAATCTCACTCCTAAACGGTGCGGAAGCAGAACATAAGATTGTAGGTCTCCGTGTGGCCCAGGCGAGCCCAAGGACCTCTCACCTCCTCTTCGCGGATGATAGTCTTTTCTTTTGCAAGGCGGAAGCAAGCCAATGCAAAGAGATCATGGACATCATTGACGTTTATGGGAAGGCATCGGGACAAAAATTAAATGCGGCAAAATCCTCAATGTTTTTTGGAAATCGCGTGGATCACCTCCGGAAACGTGAAATTAAAGAAGTCTTGGGCTTCTCGACTGAAGGAGGCATGGGAATGTACCTTGGATTACCCGAACATATCTGTGGTTCGAAAACCAAAGTCTTCTCTTATGTACATGACAAGATGAATGGGCGAGTGAATAACTGGTCATCAAGGCTTCTCTCCAAAGGGGGAAAGGAAGTTCAAATTAAGGCGGTGGCCCAGGCAGTCCCCACATACCCAATGTCGTGCTATTTGATTCCACAAGGCATCACTGACAAACTAAGTAGTACGACTTCAAATTTTTGGTGGAGCTCGAAACAGAACAGCAGAGGCCTACATTGGATAGCATGGGACGAGATCTGTACCCCTAAAATTTTAGGGGGACTAGGGTTTCGTCACCTCCATGACTTCAACTTAGCACTTCTTGCAAAACAATTATGGCGATTGATCCACTACCCAAACTCTTTATTGGCACGCGTCTTAAAAGGAAGGTACTACAAGGATACTTCTCCTTTGGATGATCGCCGCACATACTCACCTTCGTATGGTTGGCGAAGTATTATGGCAGCAAAACCGCTACTTACTTTGGGACTACGGAAGAGGATTGGAACGGGCCGAGATACGATGGTGTGGAGCGATAACTGGGTCCCTGACTCAGTGGCTCGCCCACCAAGGCCTGCAGACCACATTGTATACAGACTTCCCCAACTCCCCGTTCAGGCCCTTATTAGGAATGATACGAAGGAGTGGGATATACAACTTTTACGGGAGTATTTTCAGCCGGATAATATTCTCCTAATCCTTGGGATTAAACCGTCTCACTCCGATACCCTGGACGGATATGTTTGGGACTACACAAAGACAGGGACATACTCAGTTAAGACTGGATACGACCTGCTCCGGACGAACAAGACGAGACCTACTCAGGATTTGGTCCTTGAACCAAGTATCACTGGCCTTCTAGGTCATGTGTGGAGGATTGAGGCCCCGAGTAAGATGAAACATTTTTTGTGGCAAGCTATTTCGGGCTGTGTACCAACAGCAGAGAGGCTCACTTACAGACACCTGGGCACCGATAGGAGTTGTCCTAGATGTGCTGGCCCAGTGGAGTCGATCAACCATCTTCTTTTTGAGTGCCCCCCAGCCTTGCAGGTTTGGGCTTTATCGGACTATCCGTCCATTCTGGGTGACTTCCCGAGTACATCTATTTACCAAAATATAAACTTCCTCTTCTGGAAGAGAAAAGAAGTGGCTCCTCGGAGACCACAATTCGATACCTTCCCATGGATCTGTTGGTACATCTGGAAGGCAAGAAACGACAAACTCTTCAACGGGAAAGTCGTCTCCCCGGTGGATATCCTCCAACATGCGTCTTTAGAGGCAGAATGTTGGAGGAAGGCAAACGAGAGCGAGGAAGATGAGGAGGTTCATGCGATCCCTCCTCCATTAGAGATAGTGACAGCACCCCCTGGGCTTCCCCGACTCCCAACCTGCCAAATCGATGCATCATGGATCGATAATGGTAGTGTCAGTGGCTTAGGATGGAGTTGCCAGGATCACATGGGGGCTGAACACTTCGGACTACGAGCATGTAACAGATGCCGATCAGCATTGCATGCAGAGATGGAAGGACTACTCTGGGCAGTCTCATGCTTGCAGGCCTTGAGGATATCAGCGGTACGGATCGAAACGGACTGCTCGGATCTTGTAGACATGACGACAAACCCGGAGGACTGGCCAAATTTCGCGACAGAGATCGAGATACTTCAGAAATCACTGGAGGTCTTTGAGGATGTGAGTCTGTCTCATATTCCCCGTTGTAGGAATGGTCGGGCGGACGCACTCGCCAAGGAAGCAAGGAAGAAAGGATTTACATTTTCCCATATAGATCAGACCAGGTCACACGGAGATATCCCTCGGGAATCGGCTCGTCTGACCACCACTTGATCTAATATTAATGGGCTGTTGACAAAAAAAAAAAAAAAATCATGATAATACCAAACAGTATGTAAATTTAAAAATAGTCATCTAAACCAAATCTTAAGTTGTATTAGCCAAAATATGTAAATTTTAAATAGTCATGTAAACCAAATCTTAAGTTGTATTAGCCAAAAAAATAAATCTATTTAGCTAAAATCATCCTAACAACAACATTACAAGTTTTGTTATATTAGGACATATATGTAATCAAATATTAAACATATTTAATGCGTGATGCGTAATAGTGAAGAACCAGATTTCCCTCCAAATAGTGTCGATAAATAGGTATTAACTGTAATAAAAGAGAAAGAAAAGGGAAGCCCCACTCGATCTTCCTGTTTAACGCCACGTGTACCTAATATCTAATCGAACGGCTCTTGTCTGAAAGCCATGGGCAAATTTGTGGACTCAAAAGACTTTGGTACAGAACTATGGGTCCTAAAAATAGCGCTTTTTAGCGAAAGCTTGCGTGCTAAAACACAGAAAGAAAACGATAACTGCAAGATTCAAAAAGCTCAGCAAACAAAAACCACCTCTGACAAATTGATAAAGAAGAGGAAAACAAAAAACAAAACTTTATCTTCGTTGTTTCTGTTTGCTGTCTTCACGAGAGTGACTTTCTCAATTCGCTGTTACTCTTTCCTCCTGGTTGGTACTTTTCCTTTGAATTTCTGCAAATAATTATTATTTGGCTGAGAAATTTCAGTTTTTAGTTGATGAAAATGGTTCCAGCAAGGCAGCAACTTAGATCATCATCTGGTTTGGTTAATTGTTTTGGAAGTGAATAACAAAAAAAAAAATAGTTTGCTTAATAATTTTGACAAGAATCTGCCTCTGTTTTGTTATAAGATTAGGACAACTTCCTTTTAAAGCAAAACATCAGATTCTCTTGTTCAAAAGGCTTTTTTCTGTAAAGCTAGTTGTTGATGGATCTGTCTATATATGTGCCCAATCTCATAAAGATTCCAACTATTAATATGATTGCATTCTCTAAACGGAATCAAATGGTTGCATTGATCTTGGATTGATTTTTTTTTTTTTTGTGTATAATCAAATCTCTTTTTGTCTTATATATCAGAGTTATGGTGGGAAATGATGGCAGCAGGAGAAGCAAGAACAGTGTGGCAAAGAACAGTTAACCGTTGCTTTGTCCAAGAAGACGCTAAAAGAGCTCCCAAATTCACCTCTTCCCACTCTTCTTCTTCTTCAACTAAACAGGTTCAAGAAGATTCTGTATCTTCTCGCCCTTCTGTTTATCATCCACCGAACCAATCACTTTGTGCACCTTTCATGTCTCTGAATTTCTTGGGTCACCACCATCACCTTCAAGTGAAGACGCCATTGGAAGCTGAGATTGGTATCTCTGAGAAGAAACCTGAACTGGGAGGAAAGTCTTTCAACTCTGAAAGCTTTCAAGAGTTGATGGAGACAAGTAAAAGTTATGGTTCTGTTGGGAAAGACGAATCCTCCTCTGAGAACAAGTTACTGAATGAGGTACCTTTCGACCCCAGCTCTCCATGGAATCCCCTCTCGAGCGAGAAAACGGGACCATGGTGGCGAACTACAGATAAAGATGAGTTGGCTTCCTTGGTTGCACAAAGGTCTCTAGACTTTGTTGAGAATTGTGACTTACCAACACCACAGAAGATGAAACGCTCTTCTTATTACGGTAGCTCACACGAGCACGGGCCAAGAAGCTTCAAGAACAGAACCGAGGCTTCCTCTGAGTCTGACTTGAGCAAATCAGAGCTGCTAGAAGCGCTGAGGCGTTCTCAAACGAGAGCTAGGGAAGCTGAAAATATGGCTAAAGAAGCGTGTGCGGAGAAAGAGCACTTGGTGAAGCTCTTGTTCAAGCAAGCCTCAGAGCTTTTCACGTGTAAGCAATGGCTAAAACTGCTTCAGCTCGAAGCACTATACCTACAAATGAAGAGCAAGAAGATTGAGAAGAACAACGAGCAAACACGTGTTTACATCCCTTGGAGCAATTTGAAAGGAAGAAAACAAGGGGAAAAGAGAAGAAGCAGAAGTGGAAAACAGAATGGTGTGTTTGGTTTAGCTTGGGGGATGAGTCTAGTTGGTGCTGGTTTACTCCTGGGATGGACTGTTGGATGGATGCAGTTGCTATCTTTCTAAGAGAGACTTGAATTTCACACTCCCTTTTTTTTTTATCCGAGTAGGCGCATCTTGTAATGAGTTTAAGGTTGATTGGGATGCTGCAAGCTTTTGGATTTGGTTAAAAGAGAATCTAAGTTGTAAGAATTTTGTTAATATTGTATTTTCTAGTTTGTGGTTTTCTTAAAAGAAAAAGATCATATGAAACGATCTTTCATGTAAGGGCATCTGCGTATGTTGAGTTGATAGTGCTATATAATTTTTTTCATGTTGTTATCATTTTTTTTTGTGCTGGGTATAAAAAAAAAACGGGAAGGGAAAAAGTATGTTAGAGCATAAATATCGCGGGAGCTATATAATTTTTTTCATGTTGTTATCATTTTTTTTAGTGCTGGTTATCATTTTTTTTAGTGCTGGATGAACTCGCTATGTTTCGCCTACTGTGCGGTTTTGCCGGTGGGCATCAGAGTCTTGTAATGTGTTTGAACTTCAGTTCACGTTAAATGTATTTCACAGATGAACAAAAAAAAATATCGCGGGAGCTTAGGGGAGAATTGCTTAAAAAAAATATAATAGTCACGTAGGTCCTACAAATTTTGAAGCACCTGTGTGTTCTCGAGTTTGTTTACGCGTCGTTGTTTCTACTATTCGTGGGTCCCACTGACACATATCAGTCCACGATTGATCATCTTTTTAATTTTTTTGTTGTTTAAAAAAAAACAAAAACAAAACAAGAAAAAAAATAAGCACCCCGTGCGTTAATGGTGTTCTTAGCTCTAAAATTCAACTCCATATTCATTTTAACTAAAGCAAAACTAGGTGACAAAAAGGTGATTATTGCAAACATTTGGACCCGATGACCCGACCCGGCTTGAGAGGATCCTTTTGAAATCCACACTCCACATGAAATGGTTAGTTAGTCTGGAATTAAATCAAAGACTTAACACACAGAGACAATCGCTTATCAGAAAAGATGGCGGTGATGGGGAAACTGAGAATGTTCGTGGCGCATGAGCCTGTTGTCGCCGCCTCTTGCTTGATTGGTGGTGTTGGTAATCAACCACTTTATTCATTTTTATATTCAATTCCCTTTGATTTGGTTTCAGGACCTTATCTAGTTTCTAGAATCTATTGAATTTTCTGTTTCTCTTCTTATCTTGTATGTTTGTAGGACTCTTTTTTCTTGCTGTTGTGAGGCCTATCTTAGATTCTCTTGAGGCTTCCAAAAAAGTTAATGCGCCTCCTCTTACTCATGTATGTGTGTGTGATGGGGGTAAAAAACGGTAATCTCGAAATCAACGTCTACGATAACTTCTCTTTACATCCTTCGAAAGGATCTCGGGTCAAGAAAACATGAGAGAACGATCGAAACCGAGCAACCGTCCAGCTCGCCTGTTGGCGAGCTGAACACCACTCTCCAGCTCGCCAACTTGCGAGCTGGTCTTGCCCGACCAGCTCGCCTATTGGCGAGCTGAACATCCTTGTCCAACTCGCCAACAGGCGAGCTGTCCTTGCCCGACCAGCTCGCCTGTTGGCAAGCTGAACATCCTTTTCCAGCTCGCGTGCCTTCCCCGACCAGCTTGCCTGTTGGCGACCTGAACATCCTTGTCCAGTTTGCCAATAGGCGAGCTGGCCTTGCTTGACCAGCTCGCCTGTTGGCGAGCTGAACTAAACCATCCATGCCCCTCGACTCGATCGTACTCTGAACCGTAACATCCCTCATCGTCTTGATCTGCCTTACTGTTTGAGTTTTACGATAAAAATCATAAAAGATGTGTTTTCTCGTAAAACCTCGAGTAAATCGTATAAAACGGCAAGAGTTAAACGAAACACTGAAAATTGCCAAACTATGTGATTAACTCGAGATGTTTTATAAAAAAACTGTAAGAGACGTGTTTTCTAGTAAAATCTCGAGTAAATCGTATAAAACGGCAATGGTTAAACGAAACACCAAACATCGCAAAGCTATACGATTAACTCGAGATGTTTTATAAAAAACCGCTAAAGACTTGTTTTCTCGGAAAACCTCGAGTAAATTATATAAAACGGCAACGGTTAAACAAAACACCGGACATAGCCAAACTATACGATTAACTCGAGATGTTTATTAAAGAACGGCATCGTATCAGGAAACGATCTCATCTAAAGTCGTAAAACGGCTAAATCGCAAAATGGCTCAGAAAGTCCTAAAACGCAATAAAAGCCCACTCACGACTTTAGACGAGATCCAGCCCAAATATATGATGACGGTTTACTCATTATTCGCAGGAATGGGGAAATGTCAAGATTGAAGACGAAAATAGAAGTTTTCCGAAGAAAAATGGAAAGATCAAGATAAATGAAAGATTTCTGATAAACGTGAATCGAAGCAAAAAATGGAAAGACCAACCACCTAGAGAAGGAGTATATAAGCATGAGGTCGAAGTCAAGAGGAGACAGAGCTTTTTAGACCTAGAAAAACTGCTGTTAGCTTAGGCGAATTTAGGACTTAGGTGACTAGACTAGCATGTCGGATTCTTAGAATGTTTGGTTATCTAAGTTCCGTGATTCTCTTTGTAACAGCTTTCAATCTCTTTATCAATAATAGCTCTCACAATTTCTTCATCTATATTCTCTTATCTTTTTCGTTTTAGTGCGTTTCCGCAGAGCTCCAAAACCTTGGGAAAATTAAGGTTTTTCCTAAGTTTCCATATTTGACGGAAAATTGACAGTGTGAATTTTGGTTCCCACAGTTTGACGCTAGAATGAGGGGGGGGGGGGTTTGGATTCTCTTAAAAAATAACCACTGAACGAACAAAAAATGATATGCCTAACTCGAACGGCAATCTCATCTCGTTCAAGGACAGAGCAACGATCGACTCGATCAAACCTCTTAACGACCTCCTTGTCATCGATCTGACAATCGAGAGTATGGATGTCGCAAGGATATTAGCCGATACCGGAAGCTCAGCTGATATCATCTTCAAAAACACCCTCGAGATAATGGAAATCGATCCATCCAAAATCGCGGAAAACTCAAGCCCGCTAGTAGGACTACTGGGAGAAATCACCATGACTCTCGGCACAGTTAACCTTACGGTTCAAGCCGGAAGCATGATCAAAATCGTTGAATTCCTAGTCGTCGACCGACCCACATCCTAAAATGCAATCATTGGAACACCGTGGTTAAACTCGATGCAAGCGGTCCCATCGACGTACCATATGTGTCTCAAGTTCCCAACCCGCGCCGAATCAAGACCATTTGGGGAAATTGGAAAATCTCACAGGTCTGCTACGCCGCAGATTTAAAACGGGAAAGTCATTCGGCTGACATTCCCTCAAAAAAGAAAAAGAAACCGTCTGCCCTCAACAACGCCCCATAACAAGATAAAACCGAAATTTTTGGCAGTCGCGAGCAGCCGAAGCGCTGGAAGGGAAGCATGATATGTTGTGTTTTTGACACCATTCTCATGTGTTTTTGATATCATCTAAGTGCTATCCTGGAGTTCTCTTAGTGTGTTTTGAGTCATTTCAGGTGGAGAATGTGCTGGATTGCACTGGAGGTACGCATGAGTGAAAAGGTGCAAGAAGAGAGTGTTTTGTTTCGCGGAGCAAGCACATGGGTAGGCACACACATCGCGGAGCAACCCCTGTCTTTCCACCACCTTGCTCCCGCGCTTTAATGATCCATGATCTATTTCGGGAAAGCTTCTGTCTACCCTAGCAGAAGTCTATTTTACCTAATAAGAGGACTCTGGCCGCCTCCTCTCGACTTTTTCGACCAGAGACAGAAAAACAATCTTTTTACACAAGTTTTTGAGAGTTTTTGTTGAAGATCATTCTAGTTATTTTGCAAGGGCCAAGGCTTCTTCCTCTTGGTTTCTAGAGAAGAAATCACTGAACCCTCTTGAGACTTGATTTATTTGATGCATTATTCAGACATGATTTGTGTGTTCTCTTGTGTCATGGTTGAGTAGTTGAAAACAATCGGATCCCAAGATGGGTGTTGATCCAATGAACTGAACATAGAGAAGCATCATTATTGCCTTTGCTCTCCACTGTTCTTAATGCTTATGCTGATTTGATCACTTAGTATTTGATTCCAAGTTTAATCTTTTATCATTAATCCTGAATTAGATTGCTAGATCTGTTGAGAGCAAGCATCACATCCCTGATCAGCTAAAGTAGATATCAGGGTGTGATGTGAGCATTTTAGGTCTGTTCTTACTGTTTGCTGTTAAGTCGTGATACACGCGAGAGCGTAGTAAGTCATTGCTCTTCCGCGAAAGAAGCGCGGCTGCGAGAGCATGGGTGTTCTAGTTAGAAACCTAAGTTTTAGGCTGTTCTTAAAAAGCTTGAATAATTGTTTGGTTCAGTATGGTCAACACCCAATGAGATACCCTAGGTTAGCATCTTTATATCCTGATTGTTAAACCCATTTAGTTACTTGTTACTCAAGATTTGATTATCACAACACTTGTTAGTTTTAGCTTGAATTTAATCCTATAGAAATAAAGTGTAGAATTTGGTCTCTGTGGATTCGATCCTTAAGTGTTACATCGACATACCATTCGATTGTGGTAGTGTGCACATTAGGTTAATTGGTGTGTGTTCGCACGCAATATGAATTTGGCGCCGTTGCCGGGGACCAATAATTTTACCTTTATTTTTTGGCAATATTTCTAGTCTAAAACATCTAACTTGCTCTATCTTTTCTTTGCTTGCAGCTGATGTTCCAGGTGTATGACCAGTAGAAATACTCGAAGCCACACCTCAAGTCCACTAGTCACGCTCACCAACGAAGAGTTAGCAAGATTAGAAAGAACCAACAGACAACAACCGAGGCCGACTCACGCCACAATGGGCGATCACGGCGACCAGAATGATCTAACTGCAGCATTGGCTCTGATGCAACAGCAAATGCTCCAGATGAAGCAGACCATTGCCGCACAAGAAGCTGCTCGCAATCAGCAGGAGCAAGCCGCTCAGATTGGTGAGCAAAATCTGCTGCGGAACATCCCTGCTACGCATTCCGCGATTGCTCCACCACCCTGTGCCAGACAAGACTTCGAGATCAAGCCTGCTATGATCAATCTGGTGCAGAGGAAGATGTTCCATGGGCTCCCAGCTGAGATACCGATGGATCACATTGAAGCTTTTGAAGAGATCTGTTGCTTCACACGTGCTAATGGTGTACCTCCTGATTGCATCAAGTGTATGCTCTTTCCGTTCTCTCTAGCGGACAAGGCGTCAAGATGGCTCAAGTCGCTCCC